GATTACGAGATGCACTGCGTCCTCTTTTCAGCAATTCCATGATTGTTGTGCTTCTATAGCAGCCGCTTTAAATGCATCTGCCACATATGGTTGTTACAGTAGGCCACAGCAAGGCAGCCGCCGCCGTCGCCGTCGCCGCACCATTCCGTCCGCCCGCCGTCCGGATGCAGGACAGTCCTTCGAAAGAGGGTAGACCGGAGAACGCGCCGCTTGACCAGCGCTCGGTGCCCCCACAGGCGGCATGTACTGAGTCTCTGCCTTCTGGTTCAGCAGCACGGCGGCAAGAAAGCTGGAGACGTGCAGCCCACAGAATGGCGACGGCAGCACCGCGCATCAACCAGCCTGGCAGCGGCTAGTGTAGCAGTGCCCAGGCACGCGCCGCATGACAGAGTGAGACCAGCGCCGCACTGCCAAGAACGTCTGGAGCTAGAGCTGGAGTTTCGGCAATATGTAGAGCCCAGCTGCGACGGCTCCCCTGCTACTGTGGGATCTCCGTCATCACGTGTTTCGGGTTTCCGATCTCTGAGCGACCCTTGTTTGGGCCGGTGCATCGAATATGCAGTCTAAGCCAGACCCAAGATATGTATGAGGCCACCTTAACCCCCTCCCCCCCCCCCCGTCTGCGGCCGTGGTGCACGTTGCGGACCTTGCTAGATTTATTAAGTTGCACTCCAGGCAATATTTTCTGAGGCATGTGCCACGCATGGTTTGTTTGTAGCACGTAAACTGTCTTAGAAAAGTGAAAGCCCAAAGCAGTAGTAACCAACGTACTCGTGCGAGTTCGTGCTCAATGACACGTAAATGCCCGATCCGCATTTTAGACCGTGGCCCGGGGCATTTTCGTACGACGGCTTAAGGAGCGCTCAGTTGCATCGTTTCCGTACGGAAAGCTGTGTTGTACTGCTTGCCGCCCACGGTCTGGTGTTACCCGCGGCGATCAGCGCCGCCCAGCATGTGGTGACTGCAACGCTGGGCTCGGCTTTCACCGTTGTTTCAATCGGCTTGCGCGTCACGAATTTAAGCTCTTGGGAACAACTTTTGCTATGCCGCCTACTTTTGGGCTCCAGCGCCAAAAAAAAAATTGTCTCAGTTGGCTCTGTTCCTGGTGGCACACCCTAGTATCCAACCGGCCGCCCGGGCGCGTGTTTAAGATGAAGCCAGAAAAAAAATAAATTTCACTTAGTCAGAACCCGTCAAACATCAACAAAGCTTAAGACTCCAACCTTAGTATAATTGGGTCGGAAACCAAGCCCCTGTCGTCCATACGGCTCCTGGGAATGGCGGTTGACTAATGCGTGTCGTGGGACATTCACATCGACCACTTCGTTAGAATGCGCAACGCCCCTCTGTTATCACTTTATCAGTTCCGCCACGATTTTTCGCAGGAAATGTTAAAATTGCTGATCGGAACGCACGCATTTCTTTACATTTCATACCGCATCTCTGTGTTGGGCGGGACAGCCAAAAATCAGCTAGCTCGGATCAGCGACATTATAAACTTCGGTGTTCGGATCAAAGACATAAACTTTAGTGCTCGGATCAAATACATCGTTAACTTCGGTGGTCGGATCGTGACTGACGTGCGGCATCGGGAGAGGCTCGGTCCGGGGTTGACGTCCCTGGATTGGCCCAGGTGGAGCATCCAACGTTCCTGGGTCGGGCCCTGATGTAAGAGAGGGACCTTACAAAGTATAGAGCCCTTCGCATCCAGCTCAGCCAGCTGACGATCCGTCACATGTTTGTCACTCGCTCCACGGTGTCTCGCCGGGCCACTGCTCACCGAGCCGGAGCTCTGGCGCTGCCGAGGTGCAAACTCTCGGTCACACAGAGGGGGCTTCGCTACCGTCCTGCCGCCTTGTGGAACCAGCTGCCTCCAACCGTCGCTGAGAGTCCGATTCTGTCCGGGTTTCGTGCGTCGTTGAGAGCGCTGGAGGCCTGAAAGATGCCTGCTCTGTGCTTATCTACGCTGTTTTTTGTGAAACTCCACTAACTAATAATTTGTCCTCGCTATGTGTTTACGTGCCTGTGGATTGTTCCCACAACTATTGTCGCCATCTTGTCCTGGTGCGTGTCTGCCTTGCTTTGTAACCTTTTGTTGTTTTTTTCCTCGCATATGATCATTCTAATCCTGAGCAATCATACTGCGTTGATGGGTTTCAGATCCAATACAATACAATACAATAGAGCTGGCCAAACACGAGCACATAACGATATTTGGCTCCGCGAACACCACCAGCGCTGCACCGCCATCTCTCGAGAGTTTGAAGTACAACAAGTTAGTGCAAGGATTGCAGTTTCGCGCGGCTAGTGCGGTGGCACCTCAATCAAACAATGACGTATGCAGGGAACAGTCACTTAAAGATATTGGGTCGTCTAGAGCAGTCTTTCCACGTGAAAGTACACCAATGGTTTTAAGCTGACTGATGTTATCGCATCTGGTGCTTGCCTCCATGTCCTCAAATCTGGACCATTCTCTTAAATTACGTCGTGGTACGGGGACTTTGTGGCAGGCTGAATATGTCCCTGATAGCCAATGAACAAACTGGAAATGTAAGAACAAGTGCAAGCTTGATACTAGACATAATGTCCGGGACGCATTCGACGTGGCGTCTATAATCTTAAAGTATTTTCAATGAGCCTCGGGCACATGGCCACAGTGACGTGGTCAGTCGGTCGAGCAGTGATGCAGTAGGATGCAGTAACCTGTTTTTAACGGGGCCTCTGAGCCTTATGTGTGACGTCTGTTGATGACACGACCGCTTGCTCTTGGTTGCTTCGAAAGTGAAAGTCCGGTGGCGAGGTGTTTCTGTTTTTAGGGTTTACGCTCAGATTCTTTATGACTGTAAGAGCAAATATAGCACCCTGAAATCGTTACTTTACAGCATGAACTGCTTCATTACCTTGACTTCGTCGAGTGTACCAACTGGTGAGAAATGTTCTTTGCACCATTTTGTAAGTTTTGCATTATTTAAGTTTATTTGCATGCACACAAATACAATAGACATGGGTGTTTGTTATGGGAAAGACCAGACGTAATATTCAGCAAATTTTTGCCTTCTACATAGAACCTCTGATGTTTTTGAAATAAATCCAAAAGAAGTATAAGCAGACTGAAATCCAAGATAAGGCTATGCACAACACACCATTTGATTACATTCCACCAAGATCATCCCGTTCCGTCACTAGGCACGCTTCCTGGACGCCTCCTGGTGCACAAAGCGTAAGTGTGTGTCTAATGACTGATACCCTACCACATGCGATAATGCCGCGCACAACATCCTAGCTAATTACACTCTTTTGTTCAACCAGAAGCTAAATAATCATGAAAACAGCCATAGATGGTGCAACACTGTGAAAAAGCTGAGGCATGACTCAGTTTGCAGAACATTAAACCATAGCCGGCTGCTGAGTCATTCGCCCAAATGCTACCAGAGAGCGCAGCAACGCCAGACACTGGCAGCGAGCAGATTACCGGACGGTGATGAGGCAGGCCCTCGCACTGCAGGGACAACAGAGTCGAAGCCGGCAATGGCTGCAGAACCGGACACATGCAGGGCAGGGGACTGGGCACCTGTACGGCTGCTGGCCGGGTGGGTGGGCTGCAGAACCGGACACGTGCGAGGCAGGGGTTTGGTCACCTGTACGGCCGCTGGCCAGGTGAGTGGGCTGCAGAACCGGACACACGCAGGGCAGGGGACTGGGCACCTGTACGGCCGCTGTCCGGGTGGGTGGGCTGCGGAACCGGACACGTGTGGGGCAGATCAGGCACCTGTACGGCTGCTGGCCGGGTGGGTGAGCTGCAGAACCGGACACGTGCGAAGCGGAGGACCAAGCGCCTGTACGGCTGCTGACCGGGTGGGTGGGCTGTAGAGCCGGACACGTGCGGGGCGGGGGACCAAGCACCTGTACCGCTGCTGGCCGGGTGGGTGAGCTGCGAACCCGGACACACCGTTGAGCAGCCGAGCCTGACACCGGCGTTGGCAATCCGGACACCTGCGTGACAGCACACATGGTTATCAGCAGCACCAGTTATCAACGTTGATGCTCAGACCCTGCCGATCCGGTTACCAGCAGTGGTTCACCGGCTCCGCCAGCCGAGTTACCAGCAGTGGTTCACCGGCTCCGCTAGCTTGGTTACCAGCAGTGGTTCACCGGCTCCGCCAGCCGAGTTGCCAGCAGTGGTTCACTGGCTCCGTCAGCCAGGTTACCAACAGTGGTTCACCGGCTCCGCCAGCTAGGTTACCAGCAGTGGTTCACCGGCTCAGCCAGCCGGGTTACCAGCAGTGGTTTGCCGACTCCACCAGCCGGGTCATCAGCGGCACATAGCGCACCGGCTGCCCTGACCCGGTTCTAACCGGGTCAGAGCCGGATCAGTCCCGGGTACAATGGTTCGACCGCTCTGTTGGCTCAGTCATAGGTGTTGCACCCGCGGTGCACCGATGCTATCTAATACAGCCATCAGCAATGCTCACTCATTGCATCCACCTGTGTGTGAGCAGCGGTGTTCTGGATGTGCTGAGCTGATGACCGGCAGCAGTGCCGACGGCGCAGCAACACCACGCTCGGTCTCAGGCATCCCGCGCAATCAGCACGATGGCCGCCCAATTCGCCAACGTATTGATGCTTTAAAAGCACCCGTTGACGTCATGGTTTGACAGCACCCGTTGATGTCATGGTTTGAGAGCACCCGTTGATGGCATGGTTTGGGAGCACCCGTTGATGTTGTGGTTTGAGAGCACCGGTTGATGGCATGATTTGAGAACACCCGTTGATGTCATGGTTTTGAGCACCCGATGACGTCATGGTTTGAGAGCACCCGTTGACGTCATGGTTTGAGAGTACCCGTCGATGTCATGGTTTGAGAGAACCCGTTGATGTCATGGTCGAGGATTTGGCTAGCACTGGGCAATAATGTGCTCCACTGTGGCAACTTGTCCGTATCGACACCCAGGGCTCGGAAAGACAAGCTTTTGTTGACATATCTCCAGTCACAGTCGGTCAAAGACATTCCGAGACGTTAGGGGTGGGTCGGAGCCACCACCTACATAAATCTGAAGCAAAATTATCGCGTACGAATGGGAATGTACCGTAGAAAAACCACACATTCGATGCATTTGTTTATTACGTATGACCTTAGGAACTGCTACGACTGAAGGGGAAATGGAAGATGGACGTGCCCTGAAAGCACGGAGGAAAGTATATAATGAGAGGGTCATGTCACCCAGATGGCTCGCACCCATGCTGAGCAGGCCACGCCCGCTCAGTGTGCCCAGGTCAGGCTAGGTCAGCAGCCAGTTCCGCCAGGTCCCTCTCCAGCGCGTCCACGCGTGCTCTGCCGCCTAGCCGCCGTGCCGCGATCTCCTCCCTGCGCGCGTGCTCGGCCCGCAACTGATCAAAGTAGTTGTACTCCTTGAAGTACTTGACTTTGTTGTAGTACTCGATGGCCAGCGAGCACGGCAGTGCGGCCGTCTCCTCGCGACAGCTCAGCGTCAGCTGGTCGAACAGCGTGCCATTGTTGCAGAAGAAGCTGGCGGCAAAGCAGGTGCTGTGAAGGCTGGGCGTTCCATGACACGCTGTGACCGATCCAGTTGAGAGGGTGTGTTTCCAATTCCGGTCAATAACAAACAATAAATTATTGTTATGCCCACGGTAGAAGGTTACTGAGTTTGAAATCCTCCCTAACCTTTCCTGTGTTGTTTCATTCTTTACTTCTTACTATAAGCTGCATGCGGTGGGCAAGGCATCGGTCTCCAAAAACGAAAACTAATCCAGCCAGAGCGACTTTTCAGCACATCGTGTGGCTACATTAGAGCTAAGGACTTCGGCAGACTTCGGTTAACGCGTCGCTGCGCGCAAACAGGCTAGGTCACGGCGGCCGACCGCTCACCTGTGCTTCAGGTTGACCTGGGTGCCGTCGTTGCGGGTCATCGGCGAGCAGATGTGGAACACCTGACAGTCGGCTTCCATGTCTGCGTAGTAGCCGTACGGTCGGTCTTGACAGCTGAAGATTCCAGGTCAAGTCAGGTCAACAGCCATCGGTGGGTGCTGCGGTGCCAGAACCGTTCTGGACTGTTTTTCAGCTATTCACATCATTTGTGGGAGCAGCTGCTTTTCAGCTGTTCACGTCACGTGTGGAAACAGCTGCTTCCAGCTGCTCATGTCATGTGTGGAAGCGGTCCAAAAAGACGCCTGATTATGGATCACTAGTGCGATGCAAGGCTGTTGTTAAAAGCCTACCTGCTGAAGGGAACCCCTGACTTGTGGTTATTTGAGAGACCGCTCTGTGCGGCTTGGGTGACGACAGATCTAACGTTAACTTATCTACCCAGAGGTAGCATCGGCATCGCCGCGGAAAAAAAAAACGTGTCGTGCAGGAAAGTGATAAAGATGAACCGCAAATGCTGAGTAGTCCGCTCAAGACGCACTGATTGGCAACCAGATTACAAGTTAGCCCGATGCTCGCTAAATCGGAGCAAGCAATTTGAGGACGAAGTGTTGGTTGAAGAAAAGTTATGTCTACACAGACGGCTGGACGCTGGGCTGGCTGGGCTGGGCTGGCATCGGGCTGGACGCTGTAGGGAGAGTTGAAAACGACGTCCTGAAGGACGTCCATCCAAAAGAGGCCTAAACCTGAAGCGACCGGGGGCTTAAAGTCTCAATCCAAGTTCCGGAAAAAATTGCAGCTTGTCTTAGATAATTCCAACAAATCTTCGGTACTTGACATATGATTAATTGGTAAAGGTTATTATGAATCCGTAGAATCTTAAAAATCTTACATCCGATCTTAAAAATCGATGGAAGCCCAGGTCACAGATTTGAAGGCATGCCAGGTCACCATCAGCAGTCACATTAGGTAGTTTTGTCGGTGTTAGAACAAAACAGTTGGTTACAACAGTTTGTGATCGATAAGTCAAGGTGGCGTTCTCATTTTAATAACGATGGCTTCGATGCTTTTCTATAACCGGCGCCTGGCTGGAGGTCTGAGACAGCCGCGTCCGCCGGGGGAAGAAGCTGACTTCCTCCTGGGATCTCTATTTTCCACACGCCGTATAAGAAAACAGAGGCACCGTTTTGAGGGTCCCGTCAAATCATGAATAATGTACGCGAACTTTTTGCAATCTTCCTATTCTCTCTATTCGCAATCTTTTCGCAATCTAATATTTCACAATCTTTCAGGTATTTTACGTCACCTTCGACACTATCAAGCATGTGACATCATTATATGACTGTGACCTCATCAATTTTGAGAAATTCCAGTGGTGAAGCCGCGTTCATTTAGTGTTCCACAGGTTGAGTGAAACCTTGCCACTTAAATTTAAACCTGTTCTACAATCATCGCAGACAAGCGCCCGATGTGGCTCAAATTGCCCGTTAAACGAGAGCAGCATTAGAAAGACTTTCCCCGCGTTGTTTTGCAACCGAACCCGGTCGCACAGTGGGGCAGTGCTCATGACATGGCGGCACAATGCAATCAGGGACATCTTGTAATGAATTTGAAGCTCCAACCACAGGCTTTCTCATGCGCTTACATTCAAAAGCCGCTTTTGAAACTTCCCCACCTGCTCACCGAACCATGAGCTGATGGTTCGGTGAGCACGCCGCAGAATTGTTCACAAAGTTCACTAAACAGAGCACTCAAGCAACGGCCAAGTTCTCCGCACTGGCAGAGACATGTGAGATATCTGTGGCCGGGATGGGGAGGGTTGAGTCAGCAGTCTCGACACCACTTTACCTTTGAACGTGCCATGTCAGGGGTCATTCGTGGACTTCAGCATGCACACGGGGGTCCGAGACCACAGATGGACGCGCACCGCCTGGTGTTGGGCAATTCACCATTTCAAACCGGTTCCAGCACAGCTAAATGATCCCACGGTGTCGGCAGTTCCATCAGCGGCAGCGAACATCGGACGTTAAAATGTGAGGTTAATGAAGACACTATCGTTCGAGAGCGATACGGCCTGATACAAACAGATATTGTCGGTACTCTTGGACTGCAGAGACACGCTTTGTTCAAAATGAAATGATTTCCTTGCTAGTTTATAGAGACCAGATTCCATTGGCGAGGCTGGCATATGCACTTGTACAAGCTCCATACCAGCATTCCACCACATACATTGGCTGGTGCAAACGTGCAAAGCAGTCGAACTATGGGCCGAAATTTTACCTTAAAACCCACGTGCAAAGTGTTTCGTATGAGTAGTGCGAACCGCTCGATGCCAGTAAGGAATATCAAAACGTGCACGTCACCTAAAAACTTGGTGCATCGGCTCGGTAATCCGAGTAAGTCTTTCAAAATTACAATGCCGCATATAAGACATCGTAGAGATCTCAAAGCCCAACACAACTTCCAGTCTTTACAGTCCGGCTGCTGTCCTTCATATGGTAAAACATGTCTGGCCAGTGCGCTGGCTAGTGCCTCCAAAAAGACTAATGGGACGACCAGAAGATGCGAGCAGCAAAAAACGCAATGAATACCGCAAGGCTGACCTGTTTTTTTTTCGGCTGAAGGCTATCCACTTCTTACTGGTGGCCCTGTGGTGGCCGAGATGCCACCACAGATGCTCAGAATCGCACCGCATTCCGATGAACTCAGACGGAAGGACTGGACGGGATTTGCCACAGGTGAATCCTTTTGCGCCCTCGCCAGGACGCAGGGCGCAACTCATCCGAGTTTTGGCAGATACATTTTGTGTCCATTTGCGGATCAAAGGATATTTTGGTAGAGTGAGTTTAAAATCAGTTACAGTTGATATAAACAGTAAACGGTCTTACATTGGTGGTGACCAAGCTACGAATGCATATTTCCAATCGTCTGCACGGTGAGAATGCGTAACATAATGACTCTGTAATATATGATTTGCACCATATCGACAGCACCACCACCTCTGGTGGTTTCTAAGACATGAAACATAGTTTTGTATAAAACATATAATCAGCATGGGCGGGTTTTTAACTGTTATTCGAGATCAAGATGAAGTAAGATAAAATGTCGAAATGATGTCGCGCCCACGATACAGCTGCATCTTGAAATTACAAGACTAGGGTGCTGTGAGGGTCTGTAAATGTTAGGTTGCTTCAGCCCATGTCCTTAAAATTGTCCATGGTAATCCTAGTAGGACTTTCTAAGGTGAATTCATATCATCTTCGTATATGAAAATTGTGCGCGCAAAGGCATCAAGGGTCAAAATCATGGCACCTCGTGGTGTAAAGTTGTATTTCCTCAAAATTTTGCTTGGAAATGAATGCAGCCATTTTGGCGGCGTTCGTAATTTGATGACATTCAGCCGTGAATTTTCGGCTATCTTTTGTGCAAATATCAAGTCCTGCAGTTTTAAACAATGCTGTCATCGGTCATCGAATACACAATTGAAAGTGGGTGAAATATAATTGGAAGTGGAAGCCAACCGGCCACGAACACTGGTCGACCGTGAGCGATGTTTGTTGACATAAAAACAAGCTAGACATAACCACTGTATTCATTTTAAGTGGAAGCTGGTGGTGATTTGGTGTTTTAGGGCGCGCCGGCATCGGGCCATTTTGCGCCCATAAGTGAAAGCTCACTATATTTTGAATACAATAGAGTGACAACAATCAGACCTCACCGGAGTACTGTCCCAGCGTGCTTTCTGTTTGTCAGGTAATGTCTGGTTCCGGAAGACTTGTAACAATGAACGTATGAAATTTAACTGCGTTGTGATGTTTCTCAGGGCTCCCGTCTTTTACTACAGGCGTTGCATATTGTTTTTCCCAATCGTAATAACTACAAAAATGAAACCAAAATGTGCTTTGATGTCAGACTCCAACTCTGAAAGAGTATGCTTGAAATGTGGATATACCTGAAAGGAACCTCTTTTCGAAACTGTGCTTGGATTGCAGCCTCTGCTATGTCGTGGGAACATTTCGCCGCGAGATTTTAGTCGCTTGCGCTGGCTCCTGCACCGAATTATCTGCGCTGACGTCGCCGGCCCGTTGTGCAACAGCCCGGCACGGCACCGGAGCCGCCAGAGGTGCTCGCGGCCGCCCCTGCCAGCCGGGGTGGGGTGCCTGGGAGAGAGTGGCCCGCTGGCTGGGTGACGTGAGTGCCGGCGGGGGGCTAGGAGGAGCGGCCTCCCGGCGGAGTGAATGAGGGCCGGCGGGGGGGGGGGGCTGGGATGGGTAGCGGACCCTGGCGGAGTAAGGTGAGGGCCGGCGGGGGGGGGGGGGGGCTGGGACGGGAAGCGGTCCCTGGTGGAGTGAGGTGAGGACCAATGCCAATCATGCGGTCCAGCACGCCTGAGTAATGGAAAAAAACACCTGAGGGCACAGGTGCCAGGCCAACTCAGCTGTCACCACAGGCGATAAGCCTAAATCTCAATCCCGTTAACTCAATAAGGTAGCTAGCGACACTGAATAAGAGCAAATGACTCTTAAATAATTCATAATAAACAAGGCGAAAAATATGCGTTGAGCATATCGTTGCATTTGCATTGTGGCTAAACTTCGCTTGAATATCTTCGTCATGGTGATATTTTGTGAACGAATTTTGATCGATAGAGTATGGCGAACTTTCAAATCATTTGCAAGATTCTCTAATAGCGATAATGCCATGTATAGCAAATGCATCTCTTGCATGGCCATGCCGCGTCATTTTTTGCAGCATTTGATGTTTAGTAGTCATAGTCTTGAACCGTAAGTGGGATGGAAAATAACACTTCCAACCGCACGGCACACACCGAGAACCCGCCGCTCAGCCCGACAGCGCGGCCTTGAAGACCGGTCTCACTGGACAGCGGCGAGCTGAGGCCGACCCGTCGCACGACATGTAACCGTGACCCCTGACCCGCACTGACCTGAAGGTGGAGGGGCTGCGGTCGCCGATCACGCTCTGCGAGCCGCCGGGCAGGCCGCGCTGCTGAGAACCGATCTCATTGACGCCGAGCTCGGCCTCAGCGGCGATCGGCCGTCGGGCTGGCTGACGCGCGGGCGACGGCGGCGGCGGCGCCGGCGCCGGTTCGGTGGAGACGGCGCCGCGCTGCCGGCTCGCTACCGGCTGACGGGATGCCTGGCGGTCGCCGCTGGATGCCTTGGGCGACCCCGCGGCGGGGGACGCTCGGACCGGCTGCCGGCGCCGGCTTCCCCGGGCAGGGGGCGGCGCTGCTGGGGCCTCCGGGACGACAGCCTCCGTCGCGGACTCCGCACCGGTCACCTCCAGCTCCTCAGTCGTCGTCGCTGGCGGTGCTTCAGTGGGGGCTGCCGGCTCCTCGGTCGTTGCGGTGGCCGCCGGCTCCTCCGTGGCAGTGGTGCTGGTCGTGGTCGGAAGCGTGGCGAGAGGAATGCGAATGGCGGAAAGCCCAGGCAGCCTTCTCCTCGGGCCGCTCACGTCCGCCGGAGCCGCGATACCGGGCGGCGAGGGGATGCGACCTCTGGCGGATGCTCGCACGATGTTCCGACCGGGACCTCTCCGCACCGGTGGCGGGATCGTTGCCACAACGGTGGGCTCGGTGGTGAGGACAGTCGGTTGACTCCCAGACCTAGCCCGGGCCGCTGACAGCCGGCCGACGGGGGCCGCTACCAGCTTTCTGACCGGCAGCCGCTGAATCGGACGCGACGCCGGTGTCGTGGTGGGGGCGGTGGGTGGAGCTTGCGGTCGAGCCCGGACGGCTGGCGCAGATGTGAAGTCTGCCAACGCCGTCACTGCCGGATTCGTCAACCTCCTACCACCCTTCCTGCTGACCACCCGCACCCGCTTCCTGACGGACGCTGAGGAGGGCCGGTCGCCGGCAGTGCTCGCAAAGTCGGCCTCTGCTGCCGCCTCAGGCGCCGTGGCCTCTTCCGCCGGCACTGCGACCGCCGCGGCGGCGCTGGATGCGTCGGCCTCGGCTGCCACCTGAGGCACTGCGGCGTCCTCGGCAGGAGCGGCGGTCTCGGGAGAGCTCGCCGCGGCGGCGGAGGGCGGGCCCCGTCTACGGGCCACCCTGGACCGGACCTTAACAACCCTGCGTTTGGGCGCGCCGAGGGGGGCCTCGCCCCCACGCCGAACGGGGGACGCTCTTCGACCGACCACCGCCGGCTGCCGACGCCCTGACGCCGGCCTCCTGGACGGCAGCTGCTCCGACTCTTCCGACTGCAGCTGCTGGCCGGCCGTTAAGGTCGAGTCGGCTGCCACCGGCGCGCCGCCTTCCCCAAACGGGTTTTCCAGATCCACCACCCCTGAGCTCAGCTCGGCTGGCGTGAGGTCGCGCACAAAGAGCGACTCGCTGTCGACGATGATGTCATCCAGCACTTTGAACGGCGGGCTGAAGTCCGCCGCCTTCTGGCTGGCGGCGAACGCGCACAACACCAGCAACGAAACTGTAACAAAAAGGATCACGCAAGTTTCATGATGTGACAAAACCGTACTTGGTAGAAGCGACTTTTTCGGCAAGGAATGCGTTAAGAAACCACGAAAGAAATGGCGTTCTTCAGCAGCAGCAGAAGCTACATCAAAATTATATTACCATCAACAACCTGAAGTATTTTCTTTCATACTTGCCCGCCCAATTTCTACGCTTACTCTTCTTTTGACTGAATTGTTCTCTAAAACAAAGTGATAAGCCTTGAAGCACCCAGTTCAAGATCACCACCGCCATAGTATATTACCAACTGCGCCTTAATCTGATACAAGTCTTCCATTTCCCCCAAAACTGTCATCAATTCTAGTACACTGCCGTCATCCTGCATTCTTTCGATCTCTGCAAAGCACTCCACGTTAGGTTGTCTTTTGCGCCAGGCGTCTATCAGCTCGAGCATATCAACCAACTGCTAGTACATACAATATTTTATGCATACCTAGCTGAAGTGTCCAGGGCAGACATATTTATACTAAGGTCACCGTAAGGCGTCATTTTTCGTGTCTGGTCAAACCATGTTAGATTATCTCATAACTTGTTCAAGAAGTCCATCTACCCAGACGGGTGGTAATTGGTTGCTGCAAATACCATGCCTAAATACAAACGAGCATAATGAAACACCCGGTCAGGTCATTTCTAGCACGTCAAACGAGGTCATCGATTTTCTTCTAATGAGTTTCCAGCGGGTTATGTTGTGATCTGGTTACACCGCGTGTAAGTGCGTGAATGCTGAACACCTCTTTACCACCTCTCGCGTGCCTCGCGCTGAATTCATAGCTGTTGCAACTGCATTGAGGATTCTCGGGTTCAATTACAACAGACCGAAACCGGTCCTTGCAAAGCGTTGCCACCTGCATGATAAGTGGTGGTGCCAACGCCGGCAGTTGTTCAGGTCGGTGCTGGTGCATGCCCCCTAAGGTTGCATCATTACTTTCGTTGGCAATCAACTCATTGCATATCCTTTATGTCTTTCGGACACGTGCGGGACGAGTTCGGACAGCCACAACACAGATATGACTCCTTAAACGAATCAAGCCTGATCGAGACAAAGATGTCAGCAGCAATGGCATCGGTAACAATCAACAAAGGAAAAGGCATATCCACGCCCAATTTTACAACAAAGCTTGAATACGACTGTTTTTTGGGCGTCATCTAATCTCTCATGCATAAATTCTTAAAAATGTAGCCGATGAACGAAACGCTTATATATAAAATGTGTTCGGATTCGCTCAGATCAACAACCTGGATGAAAAACTTAACAAAACGTCAGGAGTGGATCTAAGTGAACAGCAATTTTCTGCTGGCATAAGAAGTGGCTCAATAATAGAGGAATTTATGTTGGAAGCATACAGCTGATTCCAAACGAGGCCACAGCAAGTTAGATTAGCAATTAGTGACCTAAATATACCAAATCAAATTGCAGCGAGCAGTGAGGTAATTAGAAACTTTGAAAATAATAGGTGACAAATTTCATGAACACGGAAACATTATTTGTTACAACTAAAAACGTTAATTCGTCTGTTACCGATATCATGAGAAGCAAACACCTCAGATGATGGCAAATGTATGCATGTTGTGCGGGCCTAATATTGATAGTTCTCACTGGTTACGTCTAGTGAACAGAATGGTATTTTAATCCGTTCTCGACTGCTTATGGAGATTATTCCAAAGTATCATAGGCGTATGTTAAAAGTCGGAAACAGATTTGCTTTAAGTGTATTCGGCAATAGAGTTATTTCATCACACACATCAACAAAATCGGTGCGCTTAAGTGCTTGCGGCTCGCTTTCAGTTGCACGTGCACGGCGTCAGTAAATTAGTGATCCATTTAATCATAGAACAGGCTACCGTGCATGTCGTCATTGTACCTAGCCAACCAGTTGAGCTTTTGATGTCTGTTGATAGAAGCGGGCACTTGATGAGAGAACACTTTTGATTTTACTTGGACGCAGACGAAATGCATAGTTTTACAAAATCAGCAGCATTACAACACAGTACAATACAATACACGCTGAAAATAGGTAGAACTAAGTCGTTTCAGTTTGCCAATCACTATGCATTAGTGACTCCACATGATAGTTCTTGCGCGTTGGGTTTTGCGTTTAGCAGCGGTGATTTCTACCTGTCCTTTTCAATGAACGCTTAACACGCGCTCGTCGCTGTCTAAAATGCCGCAATGTATAGCCCACTATTACCATTCACAGCCTACACTTTCAAAAACGCCCAAGTCAATTCAACTATTGGTGAAAAATGCACTAAAGCGTCCAAAAATACGATTAAATCTTACATCGAAAGCGTTTCCTTCTCCCCAAAATTTGCAGGCAATCCAAATGTACTGGAGACTGTTTTGAGGTCACGTGCGTTTTGTACCATAGGAGTTCCATTGTCACCGCTTGATCCGACCAGTTTTATTGTTGATTCCGTTTCCCTCAAACGATTTGAACCGAAATGGACTCTCTTAACCTCTCTATGGTTTACGCCTATGATTGACCTGTCCATCTGTGCGTTTGTGTACGCACTTGTACATGTACATTTTTAAGTAAATATTTGTGAGTATATTTGCGTGCATAATATGCTATATAACATCATTCTCCACCCTTCTAACATGCAAACGTCAATTACCAGTCCTTATCTTTTAAGAACTCGACTTTGCCTCGCTCCACAAACTCGTGACCAACGAAATTTTTCACAAGAGTCATGAAAAGTTGTACGTTACACCATCTACAAGCAAGCATAGATTCTAGTTTGGAGGTGCTCACGATAATTTCTGGGTTTCGAATCGAATCGATTCATTGTAAACGTGATGTCTGGGCTGAAAAATTTACAACAAAAAAACAGAACGCAAAGATCCAGTCCACCTTGAAGTATGTGAATGAAATGAAAGTAATACAAAAATACGTGAATCGCAAACCCAGTTATTTCCTTTAAAAAAAACAACATTGTGTTTAACACGCGCTCGGGTGGGAGTCAAACTAACCCCCGAAGTTTTTCCGTCATGGTTTCCGAACATTGTGGCATGACGGCGCCAAAATTTGCATAGCGGTAGACAATAGAATGGTGGATCGGTTGGTATCAGAAATTTAGATCTACCTTGTAAGGTCACTGACCTAGGATAGGTCAAAGTTAGGCCATGGATTTGGCAAAGTCAATATCTAGGTAATCGTTCATTCTGACGCAACAACGCAGTGTTAGACGAAGCCATACATCCCTGAGATACTTTCTTAGGCAACACATCAACTGAATGACCAAATTCCATTGACCTAGTGCTAGACATGAAGGTCAGACCAAGGTCAGAACCAGCCTTTTTCATTACTTAAGGACTTGCCGCATGGGGTAATTTCTAGTGCTCATTTCGAATTTATTGAGAACAGGAACCGCATTAGACATCTGTCATGGACTTCCGAAAGGTCAGCAAAGGCTACTGAGCTTAAATGAGATAGGTCCAGATTGTGCTTTTCAGGAACATACTGCCTAGCGTAATCTTTCTCGTTTATTCAAATGCAAAACTCAAAGCAGTCTTGTATTATTTTAGTCACCATGGCCTTCGAAAGGATAAGCAAGGTCACTGACCTTAAATGAGTATGCCTCGAGCATGCCTTGAGCATGCCTTGAAATGAGCCTTTGGAGACCAACGTGGAATTTGACCTTATTTGACCTTATTTGGCTCGACGGTCATGACCTAGGAACCTCAAAGTTTGACCGAAATGAGTTTATGTAAAGGTCAACACACTGAATTTGGTGCCTCTAGCTCTCTTAGTTCCTGAGATCTCAGGAGGGGGGTCAAATTGATCCCCTACCCGAGCAAATGGGATCTAATGGGCCATCCGGGCGCGTTTTAAGGTTAGACTGTGTGACAAGGTTAAGATGAATGGTTGGTGTTTGTTCAGACTCTATGTCGTCTTTGCAAATTATGACACAACAATCAAAACAATGTTACGCCCTCAGTGAATGATTGGCAGGACCCCTGCAACCAATACAGCAGCATGCTGGAATGTGTGTGCACGCCATTACGAGGAAGATCCGTCAAGACATCATACTACACCATCCAGTGGGCGTTCTAAGAACACCACGCTCACAATTGCTTCTTAAAGCTATACGAGATACTGAAATAACGAATCAAGGGGGTTGTTACATTTGCCGTAATTCTCGTAGTCTTCGAAGCTAGTATGGTGTCCAATGCTAATATCGACTTCAATGGGCTTTAGGGGCCAGAAGACGCATACAAAATCAAAGCGTTAAGGAAGGTTAAAGGAGGCCCGGAGCAATTGGACGGCCACAAGGCCAGGGCCCTGATGTTCCGTGAGGGCAGCCTGAGCTTCGGTATAAAGGCCGTCCAGACGGGCGCCCAGTGGTGGTTCGAGTCGGCCTCACAATGTTCTTGTCCTCAAATATTCTCAGACGTGTCTCAGAAGTGTGACTCCTTATGGCGGGCACAGTAGGATTTAAATTGGTCAGGAGCGTGAGAACATTGAGCATTTCATGTTGGTGTGCGAATGACCCCTTTGAAATTTGTCAAAGACCTCTAGGCGATCTAAGGTCCTCAAAGATGGGTAAGGGGCGCGAAACGCTCTAGAGGCTCCAAAGACGCCAAGAGCCACACATTTGTGAGGGAAGCCACTGAAGCTCAGGGCCCTAACCTGTTTGTTAAGCGACGCTGGCAAATCTACAAGAGAATACAATGTTTACGGGACGCAACTGGAGGGCATGTCACTAAAAGTCGGGAAGGAAATTTCAAGTTGATCAGTGGCCCGTGATGACATGCGAGTACAACTTGGAGACCAGGTCACAATGACATTGTGAAGGAGTGTTATATTATATTGCATTACTAACGAATGTGGCATTCGTTTTGGCTGGAAGTTTTGGTCTGACATAACCTAGCTAAAACTGATCTAGGTCATTTATCTGATATGATGTAGACCAATAGATTTCAAAGAACCATCGAAATCGCTTCGGAGTAACGTGCTGAGAGTTTCAGGAAGGTGATACCGACTGCTTCTGGAGCAATTGAACAGAATGGCACGGGGTGCATGGCCTTACTAGCCTGTCGGCTAAATATTCAACTCTATAGCTCGGGATACCGCTCACCAAGAATGAAGTGTGTGAACATATGTCAGTTAACAGCGACTTGTTCACTGAGCAGTCACTGTTTATTTCACGATGCGTGTGTGCCTACTTGTGCTTTCACGAAACCGCCTGTTGAATCCGCGGCTCTAATAATGTCTGACCCAGGGTTCGGAAGTGGTATGGCGTATAAGACTGCGTCAAGCCGCCACAAATGCCGGAATAAAATTCAGGTATTTGTAACTCATTCAAAGCTCATGCAGGGGTTTTCAGGTCCGGCGGTGTCTCCTTCAGATGACCTACGTCTTCAGATGACCTACGTCTCCCTACGTCTTCATCTGTGGTCACAGAGATCCCAGGACGGCAACCCGGGTTCCCGCTCCTTAAGCTATGTCGTTCGCCAACATGCCTACATTGTTCATATCCTTAAATTTCCAAAACGTGGAAGAAGCGAAATAGAAGTGTGGACCTCAATAGCAATAGCATTACTCGACGTGTTCAGACGGTTCAGTGATCAGTTTTGTTGTCTCCAAAAAGCACCCTTCGACGTCGTGTTATTGCGATATTCATTTAATAATCTGAATGCGTTGGTTAATGTAAAGGAAACGCTATCATCGCATGAAACAACCATATGGTTTCTCATATTTGGGAAACTGTGATCACATCATTTTTCTGTTCGTTAAGTATAAGCTTTTCTGTACGTGAAGTATTAGCTTTTTCTTTCAGTGAAGACAAGTTTTTTCTGTGTATTGCCTGTCAGCTTTTCTATAAGTGACGTACAAGTTTTCTGTTAATAGTTTTCTGTACAATAATCTGTATTGATTTCAACAGCCAGATTAACTAGCGCCTTTACCTATTTTGGTGTTTTCATGCCGTTTAAATTCCTTGAGGGATTGGCGTCAGATTGAGCCATCACCTGAGACTGAAACGAGCCCGTATATGGGGTGTGTCTCAGTGTACATCAACCCCCTGGCTCTGCGGCAGACGGCAAATACATAATTACTCAACACAGGCCAGAGCTTAGTTTTGACAAATTGTCTTTCGAAACCAAAGCAAGACGGAACATGCCAGAGCGCATGAAATGAGACTTTTATTTTTAGGTCTAGCCCGAGCTGCTGCAGCTCACCAAGACCATTCGGGTCAAACGAGCAAAGCAAAAAAGGTGAAGTAGGTTTGGACCATATCCGGCGTATCTAGTCCAGATACTCCTCAGCCCCACCTCACCGAGCACCATGCCTTTATGTAGGCAGCTCTGGCGGACTTTGAACGCGGCCGGCAGCATGGATATGTCGAGATCGGCTTTAGCGACCGGCTGCACGGCGCTAAATCCCGGTGCGGGGGAACGATGACCAAAAGAAGGCATTACTTACCAAACGGGATTGTTAACCGTTACGTAAGATGCAAACTCCTATATTCGCGCATTATTAGGGCTCGCAATTTAATCAGGTGTGCAAGTTACCCTTTTTACTGATAAAAATTTTAATCATGCGAGCCCATCCCTTCGAAATATCTGAAGTATCGACTTCAAGTGCAGCGGACGCGGGACGGAACCCGCCTCACGAACTGCGCTGCCTTGAACTGGCCGGCGTACACCGCGTCGCACCTGTCCGTGACTTCAGACCTCGTGTGTCCTCATCTGTCGTAACCTCGAAGTGAATAATTCAGGGCCGCGTTGCATGTACGAAATGTCACTGCATCGGCGCTGCGCCACACGTATTTCGTAACTATGCCTGCAACCGCAGTTACCTGCACCATAGTAACTACACCGTGGTGCAGGTGAGGGAGATGAACCCCGGTTTCATCCTTGACACAAAGCTGTTGCTCAAATACTGGGGCTAGGGCTGGATGGGACCGGTTATGAAGGGTTGTCGAACGACGGCTATTTTGTGGTGCAATCAACCACAGCAGTGGGCCTGTCATGCCTGGGATGACATAGCAGCTAGACAGTGTCTCAAGCCATTAGTTCTGGTGATGCGTATAATTTCAAACGTGTTTAATATGCAATCAAATGCACAGCGTGGCTCAGTCAACGGTCTACGTCCCTGTCGTCTTGGCTCGTTTTGTCGTACTTCTTTTTGCCAAGCCACCAGACCTCAACGTCTTGTCTTGCGGTCTCCGTCGTGGTACTTTACCAGTAGCTTGACATGGGGCTCGGCACTTAAAGCATGGGATGAGGCATGTTGACCAGACACGCTGCTTCACTGCACTGTGCGAGCTCCCATTCTGAATTGCAATGAGGTACATGCGTGTGTTTCTGCTGCAAATATTAGAGTACAATCGGAGCTACGCAACTGTTCATGAAATCCGCCACATTGGCAATCATTATCATCGGGGACGTAAGCAGTTTTCGACACTTGTTTAATACGCGCTATGGGGTCAAATTGCCCCACAAAGGTCTTCCAAAATAGTTTCCGGACGGCACGGCATAGCCACGCCGAGTTTTGCATAGCCTCAGACGTTTAAATAGCGAATCGTTTAGCATAAAAAATTAGATGTGCCTTGTAAAGTCGCTGGTCTATAGCAGGTCAAAGTCAGGCCATGGATTCAGCGAAGTCAGTTTCTAGGGAATCGCTCAATCTGATGCACTAACAGTGTTAAACGGAGCCACACATCTCTAAAATGCTTTCTTAGACAACACAGATATTGAATGAGCATATTACGTTATCCCAGGGTCAGGCATGAAGGCCAGACCAAGCTCAAAACCAATCTGCTTTATTACTATAGGGCTTGCTGTATGGGACAGTTACTGGTGCTCATTTCAGATTTACTGATAGCAGGAACCGCATTACGCATCTTCCATGGACTTCTTTGATGTTAGAATGGATTATTGACCTAAAACGACCCAGGTCAACATTTTGTTTTTAAAAACATACTGCCTAGCGTAATCTTTGTTGCTTATTCAAATGTAAAACTCAGAGCAGCCTTGAGTGATTTTGGCCACCAAGATCTTCAAAATGTCAAACAAGGTCACTGACCTTCAATGAGCATGTGACCTTTTTAAGGAGAGGTACCTAGGTTCAAGGGCACTTAAAAAACGAATCTGGAGTCCGACCTTGTTCTACCTTATTTGCCCCGAAAGTGATGACCTAGAAACCCCAAACTTTGACCTTATTAAGTTCACGCACAGGCCAACACATCCTGCGCATTTGGTGTCGCTAGCTCCCTTAGTTCCTAAGATCTCTTAGGGGTCAAATTGACCCCCACCCGAGCGAAGCGCATCCAACCGGCCGCTAGGGCGCGTGTTAAAGTAATGAGCTCCTAATGGAAGCTATTATGAGATGCTACTTAACCAATCATTAAGCATCCTCCTTTGACGAGAAAGCTGCGTATTCAATGACCCATGGCCATGTGTTATTGACAGGACGTTTTAGCAGTATGATGACAAAAATAGTTTTAAAAGAGCTGTAAAAACTTCGGCGCGACAAATGTGGCAGCTGTCAATCAAATTATGTTTTACGAAGGCGTAGGCACTGGCATGGCCGCACATTTTGAGACGTTAGTGTTCGGGATTTATTTGTTTGAGAAGAATGCTCCTACCATTGGATTTGCCAACCCGGCCTACCTACTTCTGGAACTATCTCAGCTCTTGGGAAAAAAGCAAACATACAACTCCTTTAACGTGAAAGCAGTGATTTCCAACAGTTCATAAATTCGCGTGACGACAATCGGTATACAGTTGCAATAGGCTCTTACCACATTCACCCGTGTAAACTGATCCGAAAATGGGCCGATTGTCCGCGGGGCTCTGACTCCTTTCTTGATAATGGCAGCAACCCACTAAATCAGGAGTGCATGAATATGTGCGTACGTCATGCAGCATCACCTGAATGCATTTGAAATTATCGCATGAGGAGTGCAGGATTAAACGTTTCTTGTACCTAACTGCGGCCTATCAGGCGCTATCTGAATTGAACCACGCTCGCGAGCGTGCTCATTCAGATGCATCGAAGGAATATCGTGAGATACGTAAATCTCACGTGGTAATCTGATATCCACCTGTCCACCGACCAGTTCTTGCCCTGAACCCCAACGCGCCACCACCGAAAATAGCGTCCTCCCTCAGCCATGCACGGAGTCTTGCCCAAGTTTGTCACGGCACGGCACGTCTCGGCGGACAGCACGCAAACTGAGAGCCACGAACGCGAAATGCCGTCACGTCAGCTGTCGGCAAAACATAACGAGTGCCTCCGATACGGACCGCCGCGCGTGCTTCGGCGCTGCGGGCGGGCACGGCAGCGTGGCCGCACTCACCTGCGCCGAGGGTGGCCATCTCTCTGAGACGGCTCGCGTCAGGATGCCGGCGATCCCTGGCACCGACTGCGCGCCCCCCGAGAGACGAGCCCAACAAGTAGCGCCCAGGGGGCCGGTGAAAGGTCGGCCGCATCACCCGCCGCGGGCCCCCCATCCCCCGCGCTCCCGACACCCTTCTCTCCCATCCCGGTGACCTTCGCGGAGGGCCGGGTTTCGGCGGCGGTTCCGTGCGAGGCGGTCCGGTGGGACTGGCAAGGATTCGCCGCCGGGCGCGCCACGGCACGGCCGTCTGCGGCACAGCGGCAGGCGCCTGACATTGGGTGGCAGTGACATCAGAGTCAGATCACGACACACTGACGTCAGCTGGCGCAAACTCGATCTGTCTGTGGCATGAGTCAACGGTGTCGACACCGAGGTTTCGCCCAAATTTTTGGACTTGTTGAGAATTTGGTAAATACTTTATTTGTGGTCGTGAAAACTGGACCAAGCTGTCCAAATGTTCATGCAAAAAATTGGCTTTTAACATAGTTCTCACTGAAGCTATTTTGGTTTCCTACCAGTGGCTGGAAGTATTAACTGAAGCCCGGTGTAAACCAGCTGCGTTTCGGTAATCGGCTGCACAACATTGTATATGCTTTGAGGTCAGGTGCGGCCTTACGATTAATTTGAAGTTCAAACGTAGTTCTAATCCCCAGCGCTGCTCTGAACACCTTGCCGTTCCGTAACCCCCAGTGCTTTTGTAGCCAGAACAGTAGATGCAGGTGAAGACGGCTCAAGTCCAGCTTACGTGTTCGTTGCGCGGATTCTTCGAATCTGGGGTGGTAGCCATCGGCGTGACCACGTCTGGTCGGCGGATCCAGGGGTCTGCTAATGACGGGAATCCTTCGCTCAGGAGCATGTAGTTGATGGTGATATCCCCTCTGCATGTGCATTGTACGTATGTACGTATATAAAATGTAAGTGCCCATTCACTCTTTTTGCACGTTATGTTACTGCTGCAATGGATAACGACAATGATGTTTCGTGAAAAGATAATCCTTACGTTTTAAATGCTTGCAACCATGACAGACAACCATGTGTGCCTCCTTTCATCGTTGCTTGGCCCTTGGTTGACCTCACGCTGAGCCCAACTCAAGATCAACTCCACCACAAAAACTGGAGACCTGTGCGCGGTCCGGTGCAAAGCATCTACGACGGTTGAGAAACATCCCCCGTCCGACCAATTAGAGCGTCCTCATTCACACGCCAGACTGCACGCGCTTGACGACAGACAGGTTGGCGCGAATAAAAATGACGCTAACAGTCAGCTGATCGGCCAAGGCGCCACAACCGCGTAAGCCAGCCTGCACTGAACCGGACTTCGCCTGAAATCGAGGGAATATTACGCTGGTATGGGTGTACATACATACATACATACATACATATATATATATATATATATATATATATATATATATATATATATAATATGGATATGATAGCAAAGGTTTTAAACATGCGTAGTTTTTTGACGCGTGCTCAGGAAAAGGGAAGGAGAGGGCACAGTGTACGGTGCTTTTACAAATGTTCTTGAAATCCGTATCGGCCGTATGTAGCAACATTGCTACAGATGCCAGAGTATCGTGATGTCGTTGGCATTCCGCGTGATACCTCACAAGAGGGGATAATGGCCCATGTTAATGGTTCGAATGCCAAATGAAGTTATTCCTCTTTCAGCCCGTTTAACTTTGAATGCAGCAACAGCAGGGATGAGGATAACCAAATGACAACATTGCGAATATTAACAACGTAATGTGTGATGGGAAGAAGCAGATGCGTATAGTCCGTGGTAGGTCAAAAGCAACAGGAAAACATCATTCCACTGGTCACCTGCAGCATTCCAGCCTATATGGTACAAACACGCAGCGACGCTGGCGTGCAAGTTCTGTGAGCTTTGTCCGTCTGTCATCAAGCATAACACTGTATGTTTATATATATATATATATATATATATATATATATATATATTATATATATATACACATGCATATATATATATATATATATGTATATAGATATATATGTATATATATATACATATATATATATATATATATATATATATATATATATATATGTGTGTGTGTGTGTGTGTGTGTGTGTGTGTGTGTGTGTGTGTGTGTGTGTGTGTGTGTGTGTGTGTGTGTGTGTGTGTGTGTGTGTGTGTGTGTGTGTGTGTGTGTGTGTGTGTGTGTGTGTGTGTGTGTGTGTGTGTGTGTGTGTGTGTGTGTGTGTGTGGTGTGTGTGTGGTGTGTGTGTGTGTGTGTGTGTGTGTGTGTTTGTGTGTGTGTGTGTGTTGTGTGTGTGTGTGTGTGTGTGTGTGTGTGGTGTGTATAGGCAGAAGATGCGGCAGTTGTGCTGTGAAACGTGTTGTGAGCTTTTACAAAAAAAGTGATAGGTTCCTTATATCTCCACGATATACTGGAAAGTTGTAATGCAAGCGTGGATCACGCTATTAAAAACGTCTTAACAACACCTTATTTGACTTAAATAGGCCCGAGAAGGCCGTGTGAAAAAATAATCCTTACGTTTGAATGCTTGCAACCATGGCAGGCAACAATGTTTTTTGCTTTCCTTCCACAATTGCTTTTGCCCTCGGTTCTCGACCTCACGCTGA